TTTCTATGATTGAGCCTAGTTGTGGTTCGATTTATTATTGAAAATAGTATTTGAATTCTGTTTTAACAGGTAGGGATTGTGTTCGCAGTAATCAACAATGGCTCCTGCTAAAGGTATGTGTTTAACCTTATAGTTTATATCTTATTTATTAGTGTTATGTGGATAATTATATTGTATTGTAAAGTTTAGGAACTTAATAGTAATTTGCGCTGAGTAATTTGGGTTAAACTTTAATTTATTGTTTATTATTACTAAAAAAATTGTAGATTTAGTTGCAAGTTCTGGGTTTGTATTGACTCTGTTATATTGACAAAGTTTTATTTTTCGTTCGTAAATTAGCGGGGTTTTTAAAAAAACTTTCAGATCTGAGAGATATCAGGGTTAGATTCTATAGCATTCTCTTTTTCTGATTTGATTTCTTGAGGTTGTCTCTTTGGTTAAAGCGTGTTCTTTGGAGGAGTTTCCTGAGATTGTTAAACTGGATTTCCTGAAATTAATTAATTGAACTCGGTCCAAATTAGTAGTGAGGTGATATTTGTTTAGTCGCGCCCTAAGAAAATGATGGCTTTTGTTTCTCTATATGGGCTGTAAATTTGAAAGGTTGACAATTGCCATGTCCAAAACTCTGTTTCTTGCAGGAGCTTTTTCTTTCGATTTCAGATTTTTCTCCTCAATGGTATATTCAACCCATAGAAGTCATTTTAATTGAGATTCCATGTCATTAAATGGTTAAAGAACCTTATTAAACAGGATATACAAGTTAAATTTTTTATACTCATAATAATGATTTACATTTATTTTTCGAGCCCTAATATCTACCCAAATCTATTATTCTTGCTATATGATAAATGCATTTTGTTAATACTATCTTATCATTGCATTTGCATTTGATTCACAGTGGATAGTACAAAAAAGGCCGATCCAAAGGCTCAGGCCTTGAAGGCGGCGAAGGCTGTGAAAGCAGGCTCTTCAGCAATCAAGAAGAAATAAAAGAAGATCATCACAAAGGTTACATTCCACAAGCCCAAGACATTGAAGAAGGACAGAAACCCCTAGTGTCCACGCATCAGTGCTCCTCCAGGGAACAAATTGGACCACTACCAAATCCTCAAATATCATTTGACCATTGAGTCTGCCATGAAGAAGATTGAGGATAATAATACCTTGGTTTTCATTGTTGACATCCGTGCTGAATCTTGAAGCTGGTTAATTTGTTAATTTTTCCTTTTCTTTTGATCTCTTCTATTTTCTCATTCCAGTAATTCTTGAGTACTTTTATTGCATATGTAGCATCTATAATTGGCTTTTTAAAGACTGCTTGATGAAGGAACCTCTATAATATGAGTAGCTATTTCGTGCCTTGTCATATTTATTGCCATTTCCCAAGTAAAGGAAAAGAGTGATCTACGTTCATAGTGTAAAACTTCGTATGACACTAATGACTGTTGTTGACCCCAAAAACTGAGTTCAACAGATATCGGGCCCACTCTTGCCACATCAAGTACGGGTCCGACACGTTTCTACATGAAGGTGATCGGTAGTTTTTCTGTTCATGGACACGGGAGACACTTTATGGCGAGAGACAAAAATGTT